GTGATTGGCTGATTAGAAATTAATGTTAACGAGCAGTTGGACAGGTGTACCTAATAAAGTGGCCGGTGAGTGTACTTCAGCGCACCTGCTATGCTGAAGCTCTGTTTGTCACGTAGGGTACACGTCATTAACATTGGACGGCGCTGGCCCCTCCCATTCTCAGGTGAGGGGGAGTGGAGTGTATGGAAGAATTATTCTGACTTTAATCAAGAGCGTATGTTTTCAATTTGAGAGCAGGAGTAAATGCCTTTGCTCTTAAAACTTTRTGTATTTGTTCTCAAAGGAGCGGAGCATGGATGTGTACTGAGGGAGTGAGAATCATGAGCCGGGCAGTGAAAAGACTTACATTGTTCGCGAGTCTCAAACCACAAGTTCAAGTCAAGTCTCAAGTCTTTAGGGTCCAAGTCCAAGTCTGTCTCTAATAGTAGGGACTTAAGTGCGACTCAAGTCCAAGTCCGAGTCACGAGTCCCCATCTCTGCCATCTAGTCAGCCTTGTCTGTAAGCAAAATATCTCTTGAACCATTTGACAGATTTTAATAAAACACATCCTATTATACATACTATTATTTTTAAAGTTCTCCATTTTGGTTTTTATCAGCTGTTTTATTCAGTACACTTTGTTCCCACAGGGATCCTTTCACATCATGCTAGCTTCATCTTCACTAAGCTAGGTCTCGTCATGGGAATGTTGTTTTTACATAATCTTCTGCAGAAGCTAGATCTCTTYAATCCACCATCACACGCAGACATCATGCTGGGAAGCACATATGGACACACAAGCATGTGCTCTTCTGCTCTCGCTCACATTTGCGCATGTGACACATTCGAAACAACCTTTGCACTTGTTCGGTCTCACACTCTCGTACGCAAGCACGCACACACAAACACTGCATCCTGATGCTCTGGATTAGGGGTACAGATTAGAGATTAGGGCCAGCGGTTGGATTACACAGCACTCTCACGTCCCCTCCTCCACCACAGGCCTGAAGCACCTCCGGCCCTATCATATACAGTAGGGATGCAACGCACACGTACACACTCAAAATGTTAAATTACTGATGTTCTTTTTTTAATGCATCTGCAAGATGTTACCACTGTTTAGGATTTTTATCTTTTTTTTTTTTCGTTTTTAAGAGTTTTAAAACTTCATTTCTCTCATTCACCTTATCTTTCCTTCAGTAAGACAAACACAGCACCAAAACTATTTTTATGTTATCACTACCTCCTGAAACAAAATCTCTCCAGATTTCCTCTTCCCCCACGAACATCTCATTTGCTGCTGCTATCGCTTCATTTCCCARCTTTTCAATTGCGCAGGTTTTTGTCTGGACAGAGCCCCTCAAGCCCCGCACGGGCAGAAGATAAACAGTATCCATCAACGAGATAGGAGTGAAATAAAATATGCAACAGGAATGGGTAAAGTCAGGTGTTTGGAGCATGTGGAGGGACCTTCAGGATAGATGACTGTTTCTTACGAGCGATCTGCTTCCTACAGTAGATGGAGTGTTTAGAAGATGTGGGTGAGGAGTGCCTGAGGACTGTGCTGAGATGTTTTATTGATTGCTGATTCACTATCTTGATTCCTGGATATCTACCTGGATGTTCGGAACCTTCTGTAGGGTCACTCTATTTTGGGGTGAACATGATAAAAAAGTGTATGTTTGCAAAACCTAAAATACACAAGAAGTATAAAAAGAATTCTACAGATTGCATYGTGCTATGGAGTACGTAAAGTAAATGCAGCATTAACGGCAAAATATTAAMCAGAAAGATTAGTTGGTGGTGATGCTTGCAGGACGTTTTTAGACATGAATCACAAGACAGGTTTTGTAATCAAAACTCAAGATCTGTCAGCATTTCCTGGCACACCAGCGACTCCTAAATAAAACCAGCTGGTTGTGTGTGAGTGGGCTCATAGTTTTTTTTTCCCTCCCAACAATGACCTTTATAGATAAAGTTTAATGTCAGCTCAACAGACGTTGAACAGAATCTACAGACTTTAGCAGAGCAGAGAGGAGCTTAGTGTGAAGCTTAGTATCTGTTGACATTGCTGGCACGCAACGAGGCTGCCAAAGACATGGTATCCAGATTAGTCAAGAGACAGACGCGGTCGTATCTTTGGTTTATCGGCATAGAAAATAGTAACACCAATAATAGGTATGGCCTTCTTGTGATGTTTTTGCAAAGAAATGCTCAGAATTTTTTTTAATTACATGAACATCTATAATT